TACTGGCCGGTGGGAGGCTATTGGTGGTAGTAGGCGGTCCCGTAAATAACCAGGCCCTAAGCCATGGAGCGCTTTAAAGGTGGTAACCAAAACCTTGAAGCGCACCCGGAAGACCACCGGGAGCCAGTGCAGCTCGCGCAGGAGAGGTGTTACATGGGAGCGCCATGTCGCTCCCATTACCACCCGCGCGGCCGCACTCTGCGCCAGTTGGAGCCTCCGGGTGCTCCTCAAGGGGAGCCCCATGTAGAGAGCATTACAATAGTCCAGGCAGGAGGTGACGAGGGCATGAGTGACCGTGCGTAACGAGTCCCGATCCAGAAAGGGACGTAACTGGCGAATCAGGCGGACCTGATAAAAAATCCTCCCGGTCACGGCCGTCAAGTGCTCTTCTAAAGACAGCCATGAATCCAGGAGGACGCCCAAGTTGCGAGCCCTCTCCGTGGGGGCCAATGATTCGCCCCCAATAGTCAGTGATGGCGTCAACTGGCTATATCGGGACGTCGGAAACCACAGCCACTCGGTCTTGGATGGGTTGAGCCTGAGCCTGTTCCTCCCCATCCAGATCCGTACGGCCTCCAGGCACTGGGACATCACTTCAAGGGCATCGTTGGGGTGATCCGGGGTGGAGATGTACAGCTGGGTGTCATCAGCGTACTGATGGTACTCCACCCCGAAACCACGGATGATCTCGCCCAGCGGCTTCACATAAATGTTGAACAGGAGAGGTGAGAGGACCGACCCTTGCGGCACCCCACATATGAGGGGCCTCGGGGTCGACCTCTGTCCCCCTGTCAACACGGACTGCGACCGGTCAGAGAGAAAGGAGGAGAACCACCGCAACACAGTGCCTCCCACCCCTAACTCTTCCAACCGGTGCAGCATGATACCATGGTCGATGGTATCAAAAGCCGCTGAGAGATCTAACAGGACCAGGACAGAGGAGCACCCCCTGTCCCGAGCCCTCCAGAGATCATCAACCAACGCGACCAATGCCGTTTCCATGCTGTACCCGGGCCTGAAGCCCGACTGGAACGGATCCAGATACGTCGTTTCATCCAGGTGAATAGGGTGAGAAGATCTATGTGATGACTTAATTATCTTACAGGGGCATCAGTCAACCAGTTATGGTAGAGTAGGAATTTCTGTTAGATTGGCCTCCTTCTCATGAAACCTATGCTAGCTAAACCAAGAAAATAAAATGGATGAGAAAACATGTTTATTCACTAACCCTGTTCTTCTGTCACTCGTTTCTGATAATCTAAATAGAATGTCAAGTAACCCAGTGGAGTACTAAGTATATGTAGAATTGCTATTCTATGGATTAGTAGATTCAGTATGATTCAGTTTAGAATGATCAAATTCTTTGTTTAAATGTTAAGTATATAATTTTCTCATTACATTATAAGAAGAGAACTTCTGCAATGTAATTGTACTCTGTGTCTTGATAAACTGACTGAATTCCAGTATGTTGTCCAGACATGTCTACTATTTTAAGCAAGAGTTTGCAGGGGTAAACTTACCTTTCCTGTTAAAAAAAATGAGATTAGTTTCAATCCGTAAGAAAATATTACACAGATTTTGTATTGATATAGATCCCTTAAGAACAGAATTCACAGCTACTATTCTAATTCTCTACTTCCCATTTAAACAGAAACATCCATCTTTTTATATTTTATAAAAAAAACTCAAATCCTATAAATAATTGAGATACAATAAAGATAGTATCTAATAATGCCATCTATTCCTGTCACTTTGGAGCAGATATGCATCTATAATCGAATTTTTAGCCTAGTAAAAGATGTAAGTCATTCCATTATATGGACTGGAAGTTGTTGTTTGCCATTGCATGTATATGTTTAAATAGTCATGTCATCTATGTTAATCTTAGTGGCTGATTATTTTCCGTTATGATTCCTTAAAGACAGTATAGATAGTCCTCAACTTACAACAATTGAGCCCAAAATTTATGTTGTTAAATGAGACATTTGTTAAGTGAGTTTTGCCCCATTTTATGACTCTTCTTGCCACATTTGTTAAGTGAATCACTGAAGTTCTGAAAGTAGTAACACGGCTGTTAAGTCGTCTGGTTTCCCCATTGACAGAAGGTCACAAAAGGAGATCATGTGACTCTGGGACACTGTAACCATCATAAATGTGAGTCACTTGTCAAGCATCTGAATGTAAATCACATGACCATGGGGCTGCTACAATGGTTATAAGTGTAAAAAATGGCCCTAAGTCACTTTTTTCTGTGTCATTGTTACTTTGAAAGGTCACTAAATGAACTGTTGTAAGTCAAGAACTACCTGTAAAAAGAAATCTTGGTGCAATTTTGCCACAATATAACACAGTCAATTGTTACACATTCCCTGTATTTGAAGGCATTTGGAGAAACAAATATGGTGTGTTTGGTATTTGTTTGGAAAAGCACCAGGAAATCTTTATGACATAGACCGGACTGGGTAGTCAAAAATAAAAACAAGGCAGTTGGAAGCCATTTCTATACTGCTGCCACGAAATCTACATTGGCCACTTATAATCTGCATCCAGTTATTGTCAATTTTTTGTTTTTAATTTAGGATGTGATAGATATATTTCTTCTGTTTATCTGTCTCTGGTTTCCTTCCTTCCTTCCTTCCTTCCTTCCTTCCTTCCTTCCTTCCTTCCTTCCTTCCTTCCTTCCTTCCTAGATTTTTCAAGGCAGACATGAAAAAAGTAACATTATCAGTGTCTGACAAAAATCAATCAAAACAATCACGATTTCCACAAAGTATATTTTGTATAAAAATACAATTTTTTAATTGTACATGCTGCTTATTCTTTGAATGAGTATTTTAACATAAAGTTAAGTGCTAGTTATTCCAATTTAATTTAGTTAGATAATGTCATAGAAAATATCAGAAATATAAATGAATAATTACACAATTCTCCAAAAGTTAATATATTTTATACTGGAAGGCAAGGACCAGCATTCGAGCAGAATACAGTTAATGTTTTTAAAAAAAAAAAAAAAGTAATAAATAAAGTATTGTGGCAAAATTACACAATTTATAAGTTGCTGGCCTTATAATTACTGCATCTTGTAGTTTTTATGGTTGTAATAGAAAAATGTAAAAGTTGCAAGAGCTGATCATAGCTACACATTTTTATTGACCTAAAGGGCCTGATAATTCATTACGGCAATCAATTGATAACAAGAAAACCAATTAAATCATTCAATGTTTAGAAGAGCTGATTATGAGTAACATCAGTTATAAAAGCTTCTGAGTAACATCAGTTATAAAAGCTTCTCCAGTGATACTTGTTTTAAATAAATCATCTAACTTTAGTATAAAATTGTTGATGTAAGTATTAAAATCCTCTGCTCTCTCTTTCTTCATATTCTAAAACAGTATTTACTTCCCTACATCTACCCCAGCATTGTTTTTGAAAGACATTTTTATTTACACAAATGGGACTTTATGAGTTACTTAAATTAATATTGTGCTCATCAAAACTTTAGCCTTCTGTGAAAAGTATCACTTGTTTTTAACATTTTTCCTCTTATTCCTATCTGTTAATTCTAGAAGACAGAGATCATTCATTCAACAATGCTCTTTTATTTTGTTTCCAATGGTCATTTTTATAGCAATGGTTATTAAAAATGGAATTCACATTGTTTGCTCTTCCAACACAATCACCAGAGCCAATCTATTACTGTTACTTTCCAGGATCCCATCCCAAACATCCTGTTTACTAACAACTTTGCTATGGTTCAGACAGTAAAAATACAGCTGTTCCACTAACATTAGTGTGTATTCCAGGTTTCCAGTAGAGTCAGGGCATGTATGCTGTCCTTTCCTCCTTTAATTTTTTAAAAATTATTCACAAGTATATTCAACTGAATTATTGTAATCACTCCAAATAGCAACTGAATAGACCCTTAGATTCTGCTTTTTCTAGTCCAAATCTGATGTCCTTTGCACTCTAGCACACTGACTGATTTAAAAAGAATGTTGTCTCTGCTATTACGATATAGCTTACTTTAAATACTATAATGTTATTAACTATAATGATAACTTATTTCATAATATCTGAATATAAGGTTTATCAAGTCTTCACATGAATTACAGTGGAAGCTTAAGGCAAATGAATAATAACAAAATGGTTATTGGAGCCATCTTGAACCAATGTTGTTGGCAAATATACTTCTGTGATAGTTTAGAGATAAGACTGCTAATTGGTGGTGTGCAAGAGGCAAATTCTAGAAACAAAACTGAAACATTTATAAATAATTCTTGTGAGTATATTTTAAACCAAAAACTCTTCACTAATCTTAATAGTATTGGGCAAAGCTTTCTGTTAAAAATAAGAGGAATGGGGGTAAAAAAAATTAAAGGTGCTTTATATATAAAAGTCATTTAAAATTATGGGAATTATCAAAAAAATAATACCACAGTTGAATAAAGATACTTAGGAATAATAATAAATGCAACAGATTCATTTCCCTTACTATTTTGTGTTCAGACAGATTCCTTCTTCCTCAGGCTTAATTTTTATTTTGGCTTATGGAAAACAGCAATGTTGCTCCAAAATATGTATTAATGATTCTTATTACCCATGAAAATGTTATTGACTTCGATACTGTAATCAAAATTTTAGAAGTTCGGTGTTTGGCTGATAACTGAACAAAGATACAGAATTTTTTTTTGTACAAACAAAAGTGTCTTATTTTGATACAATTTTTAAGCATCTTAAAAATGGAGTATATTTCATTTTTTTTTCAACTTTTGTTAAGACTTCTGATTCATAGATGTGATACATTCAATTCATCAATAAAGTTTTGGAATGTTCTCTTGTAAACCTGTATTGCATGACCCAAAATAATTTGCTTGTTCGTCAGTATTTTGTACTGTTACTGGATTATATTGATAAATATGTTTTCAAACACCAAAGCAAGCTTACTTAAAGTTTCACATGATAATGGTTTCCTCTCTTCAGCCTTTTAATTATTCTTTCAGTTTATCTCATGAAGAACCCTCTCACAGTCATCCGCTTTATGGGCACGGAGTATGCAAATGGCCGGGCTGCGAAGCAGTATGTGAAGATTTCCAGTCTTTTTTAAAGTAAGAAATCTTATTCTATTCTATTCTATTCTATTCTATTCTATTCTACTCTACTCTACTCTACTCTACTCTACTCTACTCTACTCTACTCCATCCCATCCCATCCCATCCCATCCCATCCCATCCCATCCCTATCTAATATCTGTCTGTCTGTCTATCTGTCTGTCTTATCTACATGCAATTGTGTCTGAATAAGTATGTGTACATGTGGATGTACAAATGTGTATTGCTGTGTTATTGGTATTGTTAAATGTGGTAAAGCTGTAGGATGAGCTATTATATACCTGCTTCTCTAACTGGGTTAGAGCTGTACAGTATGTATTTACAATGGGCACATACTGTACAGGATGTGAATCCCTTTGTTCATAGTGGAGGGTACAGCATCCCAAGATGTACTCTGAGTTTAATTACTTACTTTGGAGTTCTGAATACTTTCATTCCCTTCTATCTGTGATTTTTGTCCTGCCTGTTGGTATATCAAGTAAGGCCATCTACTGTCCAGAGCAAACTTTGCCTCCTTGACATGATAACGGCCGGATGGGAGTATTTCCCAAATGTCAAGGATCAGAGACTATCAGAAATGATGCTGAAAAATCCCAAATGGGTGGAGAAAGATAATAGTGGAATCCTTTGTGCTCTTTGAGCATGGTTGTTTGCTTACAGACATTACATTACCCAACTAGGTAACATCATTAGTACTGATGATGTTACCTAATTGGGATAATGAAATATCCCAACCTCATAGAGCATGAAGGATTCCTCTTTTGAACCCTGAATTACAGAAATCCACTTCTTTTGGAAGGATAGTAGTACACGTAATACTGTGTGATACATATATACACAAATATACTAAGGTCGTTATTTTACAAAAGGAAGTAAGCTTTGTAACCAACATCTAAGCTTGATAGTTTTGGACTTGTAATTCTGCGAAGTTTGGTAGGAACAGGAACAGTTATAATTGAAATACATTTAAAAATTAAATCATTTATGAATTATAGATGGAAGCTTGCTGGTAAAACTAAGGAATGCTTGTGTGAAAGAAACATTTTAGGCACACACTGCAATGTTTTCACAAGTGTTTTTATCATGGTAACATCTTGTTTACTTTAGTTGCTTGCCTAAAACTACTTGGAACATGTTAAGAAAACATTTCAGGAAAGCTTCTAAAAGAGGCTTTTGTTTAGCAGCAACTGCAAGGCTACTCAGCTCACAAAGGTGTTAACTTTCAACCCCTTAAGCACTTCCACATGAAATTCCAGAAACTATGCTTGTGGTTTTAGAGAGAGAAAAGTACGCATAAGGATACCTGCTTAAAGAAAGCTGGAAATCAGAACTTGCTTCAGATGCATTAATGACTGCTGTCTGCAGATCAGAACGTTTTCAACTGAAGTTATCTTTAAGCTTAATTGAACTACATCGAGGTTAAAATTGTTCAACATTAAAAGAAAAAGACTCAGGGATGGAAACTTCCAAAGGCATATACGATTGTTTATTTCATACATACAAAGGCATATACGATTGTTTATTTCATCTTTCCCAATTCATTTTGTAAACTGACCACCAGCTAAAGGTGGGGTTTTTCTTATTCATCCCCTTTTAAATGCTGGCAGACAACAAATATGTAGGAAAGTTGATCAACATAACTATACTATCAACAAAATGTTAATTCGTTCTATTCCCTGGTATGTGGAACATGTCAAATCGGAATTCAGATTTGAATGTCACAGATTTTACAGCATCCTGATTAACCTTGCTGACATTGTAATAAAGTTCAAGACCTAAGTAATAGTTGCATCACTTACAAAGGTCAGAATGGTCTAAATACCACACTGCCCTCTAGTGATCTCTATAATATTCGGAAAAAAAGTTTGGAGAGAAAAGACCCAGAGGTGCCTTTACAGATAATTTTATAGTGTGTTATTTTTGTAGAACAACAGGGTTAGTTTGTGGCCATCGTGCTAATTTGTTTGGTCAATTTCCTAGATGAATGGATACCTTTTGTTTTATGTTGTATGCTCTTGGAACTAACCCTGTTCTTTGCAATCAATGAGAATTTTAGATATTTGGTTTATGTCTCTTAGTCTTAAGGTTCATTTCCGGTATCAGAAGGCATTACTTAAGAGACAGCGATCATCTTTGTTTCGTACTTTTTACTGACACTATCTCCCACATTATTGCTGTGTCTAAATGGTAAAATTTATGATTAGTAATAGTGTCAAAAAAAAGTCTGAGACAGCAATTTTCCTTTCAATAAAAGTAGTTAAAAACCTTTTAGAAAAATCCATAATTTTGATTGCTGGTACTTCATAAATGTATAACTGTACTTTTTAGCTGTCTCTTTAGGGAAAAATGAGTTTTATCACCTGCGGTACCTGGGTTAATGAAATTGTATGTT